TGTGTGGAAATTTATTAATGAGCACGTATTCCTTCTGTGTGCCTGCATGCTAAGTCACTTCACTCGTGTCCGACTCTTTGCGACCCTGTGGACTGTAGGCTGCTAGGCTCCTCTGTCCAAGGGATTCTCCAAGCAAGAATACTGGAGTGTGTCGCTGTGCCCTTCTCCAGGGGGTCTTCCCGACCCCGGGATCAAACCTGAGTCTCTTACATCTCCTTCAGCTGCAGACAGGTTCTTTATCACTAGTGCTACCTGGGAAGCCCTATTCCTTCTCTAATTTTCAGTAATCAGTAAAGATGATTATTATTTTTAAAGAACTCTGGTATGTAGTGAAAGGCTCCCTAGATTTAAGAACATCACTCAGGAGACTGTTTTCAGTCCTTAATGGTCTGGCCGTATGAATCAGTAGTACACCCCCACCAGGTAGATGAATGTAGAGAGGGTTGATGTGCATATTTCTACCTGCTCATGTGTCACCTTCTCTTTTTCCTCTCTCCCAATCTTCCTGATTCAAACAACTACTATCCTTGTACCTAATCACTCTCTCATCAGCATCACAAGTCCATAAGGCTTTTCTAATTTGAAAATCAAACAACTGCCCAATACAACTCCAATACCTAGACGTTCAGAGTCAGCAAAAGAGTGAACCCAGTTCATTAAATAAGCTTCATTCAATCTTAAGGTACATCGGCTATTTAAAAAGATTCATTCCAGGATTGAAAAACTCACCAATTTCACATAAAGTGGTGGTGAGATTATGATATTCAATTCTTTGATTCCCTCCCAACCATAAATTCTCCTTTGTATATAGAATTAAAAAGAGATGTAAGAAGAATTTATTCTAAATTCTTGGGCCTTTCAGCCAAATAAAATATTGACAAATAGACTGGAGTAGGAGAACAGAAATTGAAGAGAATTCTTCTGTGAGAATTGGTGCTATGAGTTCCCACCTCTAACACCAAGAAATGATGTGTGTATGTGCATGGAAAGATAGGGTGAGATGTTGCCATCTAGTCCCTAGCCTTGTAGGGGAGGCCTCAACGAACCTACTTGGAAAATCTGAAGTATGGTCCTTGCATCTGAAAGCAGACTGGTACCCAACTCAGGCGTGGGGAAACTTCAGCAGACTCTCAAGTGTACGCTGACTCCCTCCAGGATATCCAAGAAGGGCTGATTGTTTTAGTAGTAGAACTAGGACAATGCAGCTACACTGGGAATGGCTTGAGTTCTCAAAGGCTATTGGTGCAAGTCATGTGTAGAGGGGGTGTGGGCTGTGTGGTGAAACCATTTGGTGTAGTTTCAAGGGTTCCAAAGAGCTCTGGTACCACAGTCCTTTATGTCTCAGTGCAGAAAAGAATTCAGTAAGAGGCAACCTGATAGATAAGAAATGATTCGATAGGATGCTTGTGAGGCTTACACACAGGTGGGTGAGAAATGCCATGCCCCCAAAACTTACTGGGCTACAGTGTTACAATCAAAGGAAAAGTAGAGAGGGGAGAAGAATATTTTGGTCTCTCTTCAGCAGATGTCATGCTTCCATCATCAGCTCCTCCTCCAAGTTGGGCAGGGGAATTTTCTTGCTCCTACATGGCCAAGGTAGGTCCACAAACTACCTCTTTTTAATGTGTGCAGACAGCATGTCCTAAGGATCATTAATTTACTGATCATTTACTCACTGAGCAAGGTATAGGTCTCATGTTACCACCGTTTTGTTTTGTTTTAGGGCATGTCTCATGCTTTTGTTGCATGATTTTGTTGCTAAGCAAACCTGCTTTCTTGAGCAATCATTAACTTACAGTGTTCAGGGCTCAGATGCTTCAGTCATGTCCAACTCTTTGTGACCCCATGGACTAGAGCCCACTAGGCTCCTCTGTCCATGGGATTCTCCAGGCAAGAAAACTGGAGTGGGTTGCCATGCCCTCCTCCAGGGGATCTTCCTGACCCAGTGACAGAACTCTCATCTCTTATGCTTCCTGCATTGGCAAGGCAGGATCTTTACCACTAGCACTGCCTAGGAATCAGCTGTACATATCATACATCTCCTCCTTCTTGAAACTTCATCCCACGTTCCACTCTTCCATTCCAGATCTCTAGGTCGTCACAGAGCATTGAGCTGAACTCCCTGTGCTACACAGCAGCTTCCCACCAGCTGTCTATTTTACACATGGTAAAAGAGTTGGACCCAACTGAACACACAGTGTACATATGTCAGTGCTACTCTCTCAATTTGTCACATGTAAGATTCCACATGTAAGCAATACCAGGATGATGTTTCTCTTTCTCTGCCTTACTTCATTCAGTATGACAAGTTTCATCCATATTGCTACAACTGGCATTGTTTCATTGTCTTTAATGGCTGAGTAATATTCCATTGTATACATGTACTACATCTTCTTTATCCATTTCTCTGTCAATGGACATTTAGGTATGCCTTGGTTATTTTACATAATGCTGAAATAAACACATGAAAAGATGATCAACATTACTAATTATTAGAAAAATAATTGTAGCAAATCAAAACTACAATGAGCTATCACCTCACACCAGTCAGAATAGCTATCATCAGAAAATTCACAAATTTTAAATGTTGGAGAGTGTATGGAGAGAAGGGAACCCTCCTAGACTATTGGTGGGAATTTAAATTGGACAGCCACTGTGGAGAACAGTATGGAGCTTCCTTAAAAAAATCATTTTTAAATGTATTTCTCATGATGTACTCTGCATATAAGTTAAATAGCAGGGTGGCAATAAACAGCCTTGATGTACTCCTTTGCCGATTTGGAACCAGTCTGTGGTTCCGTGCCCAGTTCTAACTGTAGCTTCTTGACCTGCATACAGATTTCTCAGGAGGCAGGTAAGGTGGTCTGGTATTCCCATCTCTTTCAGAATTTTCCACAGTTTATTATGATCCACACAGCCAAACAAAGGCTTTGGCGTAGTCAATAAAGCAGAAGTAGATGTTTTTCTGAAATTCTCTTGCTTTTCTGATGATCCAACGGATGTTGCCAATTTGATCTCTGATACCTCTGCCTTTTCTAAATCCAGCTTGAACATCTGGACGTTCATGGTTCACACACTGTTGATGCCTGGCTTGGAGAATTTTGAGCATTATTTTGCTAGCATGTGAAATGAGTGCAATTGTGTGGTAGTTTGAACATTCTTTGGTCTTTCTTTGGGATTGGAATGAAAACTGACTTTTTCCAGTCCTGTGGCCACTGCTGAGTTTTCCAAATTTGCTGGCATGTTGAGTGCAGCACTTTCACAGCATCATCTTTTATGATTTGAAAGGGCTCAACTGGAATTGCCTCACTCCCAATAGGTTTGTTCGAAATGATGCTTCCTAAGGCCCACTTGACTTCACATTCCAGGATGTCTGGCTCTAGGTGAGTGATCACACCATTGTGGTTATCCGGGTCATGAAGATCATTTTTGTATAGTTCTTCTGCGTATTGTTGCCACCTTTTCTTAACATCTTCTGCTTCTGTTAGGTCCATACTATTTCTGTCTTTTATCGTGCCCATCTTTGCATGAAACATTCCCTTGGTATCTCTAATTTTCTTGACGAGATCTGGCCTGGCATTATCTTAAATCTCCCCTCCAAGCTAGTGGGCCTATAGTAGAGTAATAGGAGAGCTTAGCATGGAGAGGCAAAAGTTTAAGTGACCGTAGTGTTTCCTGCAGCTGGTGGGGGGATTTCCAAGTGGCCTCCTAGAGCAGAGATGTCTCTACAATTCACTTTCAGTAAACCATGAGGGCGGTCTCCGGAAAAGTGAATGGCCTGCAGGAGAGTCACATTCAAACATGGGCAAGTTCAGAGAGCAGGAAGCCACCTTTGATGTTACATGCCACAGTAAATCTTCTCTGTTTTCTTCTTCCTTCATATCGTGCAGGAAGGGAGACGCCACACTCCTTCCATTCAGCAGGATTCCAGCCTAAAACAGATCTTGGGTAGGGGATAGCATCACCACATAATGCATTGTAAAGAGATGTGAGATTCATACATAAAGTTGTGGTTTAATTACAAGTACGTTTTGTTAATTTCACTGGTTATCAATGTACCCACACTCCAGTGGACCTAGGCAGGCCATCTTAGGACCATTCCCTGTGCTTCACTTTGGGTCTATGTGGATTATCTCATTCACTTACAAACATCACTAGAATCTGTGATTTCATATAATATGTTCAGAAAGTCAAGTACCATTAGGGTATAAAGTTATCACGGAAATTCACAGGCATGTAGAGATTTAAGTTTGCTTAGTCACTCAGTCATCCGACTCTTTGCGACCCCATGGACTGTATAGCCTGCCAGGTTTCTCTGTCCATTGGATTAGACCAATGTCCAGGTTAGAACACTGGAGTGGGTTGCCATGCCCTCCTTCAGGGGATCTTACCAAGCCAGGGATGGAACCCAGGTCTCCCAAATTGCAGACAGATTTTTTACCATCTGAGCCACCATACAAAGGCCATAACATCCCATGATAAGACAGTGTCCACCTCAGCAGCTACTCAGTCTGGGCCCAGGTGCCAGCAAATAAGAAAGTCATTTGGGCAGCTGGGAAAGCCTGCCATTCCTACAACCTGGGGAGGCCTTCTGGTAATTGAGGGGCTCATAAGAGCCAAGGAGACTAGGGCGCTTCTTCCCTTAAAATGGCAGTGGAAGCCCCTGAGGCGACTTGCCTCTGTTGACACACCTGCTGCTTAGCCTACGGGCGCCTGGGCGTTTCTGGTCAGCAGCCACTTACGTGACGTCGCCGGGAGACTACGCCCTTCAGAGCCCAGCACCGCCCCGCTGCCGGCCGTGCGTGACGTCACGGCGCCCAGCCGCGCCCCGCCCCCGGCCGCTGTCGCCAGGGGCCGCTCCCAGCGAGTCTCCTAGGCAACCGGCGCTCCGCCCCTCCGCCCCTTTAACCTTTAGGGTGCGCGAGCGCCGCGTCCTGCGCCGGTTCCTCCCTCCCCTCTCTGTCCCCCCTTCACCGGGGCTGTCCCGGCCGGAAGCGAAGATGGCGGCGGCGGCGGCGGGCGCGGCGTCCGCCGAGCTGGTGATCGGCTGGTGCATCTTCGGCCTCCTCCTCCTGGTAGGGGAGGCGCTTGGCGTGACCCGGGGCCCGGCCGGGGGACGGGGGCGGCCCCGCCGCTGGCCGCCGGGGCCCCGACTTCCTCGTCCCGCCCCTCCGGCTGCGGCGACCGCCGCGGAGGCGCCGGGTTGGGGCGGGCCGCTGGAGGGGCGCGCTGGCCGCTGGCTGAGGGCGCGGGGTGGTCCCCGGGGCGCAGGCAGTGCCGTGGACCCGGGCCCGGACGGAGGCCCCTGCGCTCGGGGGAGCGGGGCGCCCAGAGGACGGGCCCCGGGGGCAGGCAGCTCCCGCCTGCGTGCGTCCCGCGGGCGCCGCGTCTGCGGGCCAGGAGCCGCCTCTGCGCTCGGAGCGGCTGCACTGTGTCCCCGCATTTAGGGCTGTGGGGTTCGCAGCCTTCTCTCCCTCATTGTACGGTATTGCCTTGGTGACGTGCGTTCTGACGCTGGCTTTCGACTTCCTTCCTGCTCTTTGATGTCTGAGACACCTGTGCCGCGGAGGTGGGGTCCTGGTTACTTCCAGGGTCAGGGTCTGTGTGCCCACCTGTCTGACCTCAGGTGCCTGCATCCCAGCCTCCTGACTCCTGCTTATCCTGGCAGCAAAACATGGAGCAAAACGTGGGCCAGATGGCCTAGCTTTTAATTGGGAGTTCAGTTTATTTCTCTTCCTTGCCCTCCCCCGTCTCACTCTTCCCGGTAGTCTTCAGCCCAACCTGTTGTTGCTTCAGTGTCCCGAAGTATTAATGCCACTTGGCAGTAGAAAAACAACAGTAACAACAACAAAAAAATCCAGTTTACTTGTTGAAGTAACAAGTGCCTCATTTTACGTTACTTTCAAGATTCTGTTGCCGTGTCTGCAATCTGTATAGTATGTTTTTTTCTTGTAGATAGTGCAACAGAAACTACCTCCTCCCTGCAGTGTGTGAAAACTTGAAAAGGCTTCTTTTGTAGCCTTTACCACCTGCCCAGAAAGTAATAATGCCTTTACCTTGGAACGTGCTTTATTCTGCTTGGAGAAAGTGAAAGACCTGAAGTTTGGCTTTGGTTTCAACAGCCTGTACTTGCGCTTTTCCAGACTATTGTATTCACTTGACTTTCTAGGGGAAAGAAATTTGGCACCCCAAAATGTCTCTGGCATGGGGATTAGCTTAGACTGGTTATTTGTAAGAAATGGAAGACTCAGAAAATATTTCTTTTTACGTCTGCCTTAGCCGCTGGAAGAATTTAGATCAGGGCCCTGTCTCCAAAGTAAGTTTTATCACCAGAGATACCTGCAAAGAATATGGGCTAGGTGTGGTGGGCCTAGAGCTCAGAGAGTCCCTCTGTGTCCTTTTGTCCCTGTCTGGCCCAGCAGAAGTTTGTTAACCAAACTTTAGCTTTCTACTTGCATGGGAAGTGCCTTCCTCCCAGTTCAGGTCCCAAGCTGTCACTTCCGGCGTCCTCTGTCTATAGCTGAAGGTGGCATTGAAGGTGAGGGCTTTGGCCATTTTGTTAAGTTCTCTTGGGTATCTCCAAGAGATACATGTATAACATGTACAGTATACATGTTATAAAACATTTGATTTTCTCCTGTTGATCTGGCTCATGTCAATTTAATCGTTAGACCAGCCAAAAGAATTTAAGAAGTAAAAGTAAATTTCTTTCTTCCTGAAGAATTAAATTTCTTTCTTTCCTGTTTAGAGGAAAACAAGGAGCACATAACCTGTATCAAAGTCCAGGGAGAATAACTTGGCAATTATCAACGAATAAGCATTTCAGATAGAGCAGTTATGCTATAAATTGTAGAAGGATGCAAATAAAACAAAATGTGGCCTTTAAGAGGGCCTTTAAGAGGGCCTGAAGATAGGTGGGAAAATAAGAATTCTTGAAACAGGTCTATTAAGTACTGAAAACTGAAGTATGATTTTATAAATCAAATAGGACTTGAGAGAATAGAGAACAATTTTGGGAGAAAGTGGAATAGAGGCAAACTGGATAGAAAAGGAAGGGAAAGCATTTAAGTTGGTGATATTAACAGGAACAAAATGAAAATAGAATTAAAGGTTTGAAATTAGATGTTAGAATAGGACTAAATTAGTAATGAGGGTCATTGTTTAATTTTCTGCAAATCTCTTTAATTTGTGGATTATTAGAAGAGAACTGGATTCTCGTGTCTGCTTCTGGATCCAAGCTTTTGAGAGGTTACTTTGGTTGAGGTACATGAGGTTTTAGTGATATGTAGTTGTAAGCAGAGTATCTTTTAGGTCACTGTGACATTGTTCTATATAATATCACATCAAAGCTCAGTAAGTAGAAGCTTCTTAGTATGAAATACGCGATTTGAAACCCTATCAATGATCTTTTGTTCTTTCCCCTATGGGTGGTTTTATAACATGATGCATTTGGTCATTTAGAAAATACCTGGTTCTCCGAGCTAAGCAGATCTTCAAGATATGGATATATTTCTTTACATAAATCAAATATCACATCCATCAGTATCACCACTGATCTTGTCAGAAGAAATGTCTCAGAAATAAGTATTGAGAAATTGCCAAGCTCACAGTCATTGATACATAGTTATTTGTGCTTTCAAGTGAAACTTGTTTCTTGGAAATAGTGCCTCCTTTGGCTTTCAGCTCTTAATACAGGGTGCTTTTTCCTGGAGACAGCCATCACTATTTGAGCACATTCACGTTTTCCTCCATGGAATATTAAAAAAAGTCAGGGGTTGAAGTTTAATGAAGTTGATATTTACTGCTTTGTCGATTGTAGTTTGAAGTTAGTCATTCTTTCCTTCTGTGACTATGTGGTGGTTAAAAAAATAGTCACTACTGGCCCGTTTGGTTCTGGTTGTTTTGATTTGTGTTTAATTGGCCAGCAGTTTCCCTACTATTGGGCTTCCCTGGTGCCTCCGCTGGTAAAGAATTCACCTGCAGTGTGGGAGACCTGGGTTTGGGAACGGCTGGAGAAGGGAACAGCTGCCCACTCCAGTATTCTGGCTTGAAGCACCCCATGGACTATATATAGTCCATGGGGTGGCAAAGAGTCTGACAGGACTGAGCAACTTTCACTTTCCCCACCATAACTTATGCACCACAAGTGCAAATATCAACGTGGAAAGGGCAAATGATACTTTAGTAGTATTGTGAGAACAGTTTTCAGTTTGCAGATCCCCAGAAAGAGTTGTGGGACTGCCGGGGGTCTGGGGACTTAACACTGAGAACTGCTAATCACCTGTTAAAGATTCAGAACTCTGAAATTGACAGCTTTGTAACCTTGGGCAAATAGGATGGACTTCATTTTCATCTGTCACATAAGGAAAGGTTAGACTTGGCTCCTCCAAGCCTCTAATTTAACTGTCCATATTTACTGTGTCCCATCTGAGCCCTTCACCCTAGTCCCCACCCCCACAGGATTGTCAATAATTTGGCTTACACCATCTCTCAAATTGTGTTTCCCATTACTATATACGATTGAGTCTCGGTTTCTGTAAAGCAAGTTTACTTTTGTTACTCCAAGTGAGGGGATCATCTGGGAACTTGTTAGAAATACAGATATGGGACGCCAGCCCTGTGAATCAGAATCTGCAGTTTGACAAGATTCCAGGCACTATGTGTTCCTTGATTCCATGATTCTCTCTCCTGCCTCTGCCCAGGTACTTCTCCACCTAGGCTGCTCATTACAGACACCTGGGGAGTATTAAAAGCCCTAATGCCCAAACCAGTTAAGTCAGAATCACTTGGGAGGGGTTGGGGACTGCTCTAAATCTTTCCTTATGATTGTTAGCAGAATTATATATTAGTTTCTTTCATGAAATTCTCTAAAATGTTATTTCATATGACATTTAATAATAATTTCTGCTCTTTGTTGAGCAATTACTAGCCTAGGCACTGTGCTGAATTACATTCAATTCCCATAACCTGCTATGAAACAAATATTCTTATCTTACAGATGAAGACAGTTGGTTTATTTTATAATGTAGTAACTATTGATAGATTTAACCTGAAAACAAAAAGCTCTTTGGGGTCTGTTTTAGTAAAGTTTCCCCAAACCCTAAAAGTTTGGGAACCTCTGGCTGAACTGTTTAGCCTAGGTTGCCCTTTTTCTGCTTGTTTGCCTGTTATTGGCAAGCTCCTTCCTCTGCAGTAATACCTACCGCTTCAAACTTTGTGTAAGTGCAGATCTTCTTCAGGTCCAACAAAGAGTTTATTCAGTTTTTTGTTTTAGCTGCGGCTAAGGATAGAAAGGCTCATCTCCCAGTGACTTCCAAAATAATTTGGGGAAAGCTATATTTGTTAATTTAGAAACAAGCCTATTAAATATTAACATAAGTAACATTTTTAAAAAGGGTGTATTCCAAAACAAAATGAAATTAGTAAATTGTTAAGAATTTGAATAAAGGTCTTTTTCCTTCCTTTTTTCCTCCTTCCCTCCCTACATTTCCTTTTATTTCTTTCTGTCCAACATTCATGTTCCGAAGTGCACATTTTTCTTTTCACTTTATTTCTTCCTGCTGTTCTGACACCAGCTGAAATGTTAGTAATGTAAAAAAATTACATGCAACAACTTGGATGGATTTCAAGCTCATTAAGTTAAGTAAAAGAAGCCAGACTCAAAAGGCATACTATGTAAGAACACTGACATTCTCGAAGAAGCAGAAGCTGTGGGCGCAGATGATAGATAGTGGTTGTCAAGGGCTAGCGAGTGGTGCGCTTAGTCACTCAGTCGTGTCTGACTCTTTGTGACCCCATGGACTATAGCCCACCAGGCTCCTCTGTCCAAGGGGGTTCTCCAAGCAAGAATACTGGAGTGGGTTGCCGTGACCTCCTTCAGGGAATCTTCCCAACCCAGGGATCGAACCCAGATCTTCTGTTTTGGAGACAGCTTCTTTACCAACTTAGCCACCAGGGAAGTGGAGAGAGGAGTTAATTACGGAGGGGCAAAGGAGGTTTTTCTGCAGTGATGGAACTGTTCTTTTCTCTTGATTATGGTAGGAGAATTTGGAAACTGTAACTAGTTAGGTGGTATTCTTAGTTCCTTTCTGGCTCCTGAAGTATGATACCCAAAAGGGAAATAATGTTACATGAAAAACTAGGTTTGCCTGTTGATGAGTGTTGAGCCAGCAGACACAACCAAGCCAAAAATCAGGAGAAGGGGGAAAACAGGGGGGCTTTCCTAACCCAGTCCTCCTCGGCAAGGTTGGGGAAGTTTAAAGCTGCCATGTGACCCAGTAATCCCACTCCTGGGCATACACACTGAGGAAACCAGATCTGAAAGAGACATGTGTACCCCAGTGTTCATCACAGCACTGTTTATAATAGCCAGGACCTGGAAGCAACCTAGATGCCCATCAGCAGATGGATGGATAAGAAAGCTGTGGTACATATACACAATGGAATATTACTCAGCAATTAAAAAGAATTCATTTGAATCAGTTCTAATGAGGTGGATGAAACTGAAACCCATTATACAGAGTGAAGTAAGCCAGAAAGAAAAACATCAGTATAATATGGAATTTAGAAAGATGGTAACGATAACCCTATATGCAAGACAGAAAAAGAGACACAGATGTATGGAACAGACTTTTGGACTCTATGGGAGAAGGCGAGGGTGGGATGATCTGAGAGAACAGCATCAAAACATGAATATTATCAAGTGTGAAACAGATCGCCAGTCCAGGTTGGATGCATGAGACAAGTGCTTGGGGCTGGTGCACTGGGATGACCCAGAGGGATGACATGGGGAGGGAAGTGGGAGGGGGGTCCAGGATGGGGAACACATGTAAATCCACGCCTGATTCAAGTCAATGTATGGCAAAAACCACTACAATGTTGTAAAGTAATTAGTCTCCAACTAATAAAAATAATTGGGGAAAAAAAAAGAAATGTATTACTTTTAGATTCAGAAAACATGTTAAGGATGTATAGGATTTCTTTAAATAAACATGTCTTTTGCTGGGAAAAAAAAATAAAGCTAAGGGTCATACATATTCATGAAGGGGCTTGAGTGGTAGACAGAATCCAAGGAGGGTCAGGACAGATCAGCATCATCCCTCAGGTTCTGGTTGATCTTGTAGCTGAACTCTGCAGGACAGTCTTCAAAACAGACCTGGGAGTGCTGACAACTGAGGTCCTGTCTGCTGTAGTTACTTCTCTTGCCTGATAGAGTCATTTGTTTCTGCATCATTTTATTCCCTTTAGATCTTTAATTACTGAAATCTGTCCAAGGGCAAGCATTGTGGCCAGGCCTAGGTCACAAAGTAGCTTATGCCAAAAATGGCTTCTCATATGTCAAGGAAGCCATGCCTGGATCTCTTTCTCTAGGGAACCCGTACCTTGTCTACACTGAAAGTTAAATATTTTGAACAGCATGAAAGGAGAGAACAAAGCTTGTGTCCCAGAGCTTTTATAGAGCTGACTTAAAACCTTGGTTCTCAAATTTGCCTCAGGTTGGCATCCTCCGTGCTGATGCCTGGAGAAGCCTCAGTCCCTGATGGAAGTGATTTGGGGAAGGCCGTAAAGGAATTTTGAGTTTTTACTCAGGGGATTCTAACATAGCCAAGGTTGTGAATCACCCATTTAGGATCTGCCTGCCATCCCCTATGATTGAGTAAAGCAGAGAGTCTCTAAGTGTAGTCTCTGGACCAGCATCAGCCTTCCTGGGAACTTGTTACAAATACAGGTTTTCTGGACCCTTTCCAGACCTGTTGAATTTGAAACTGCTGTAGCGGCCCTCCAGGGAATTCTGATGCCAGAATTTGAATTCTGATGCTAGAATTGCAAGAATAAAGTTCTTTACTCTGTCTTAATTTCTAGAAAGATGTTGGTGACTATTAAAAAGACCTGATGGATTACAGATGTCAACCTCCGTACCTCGGAGTGTACTTTTTTCCCTGGAAAGTTCCTTGTAATGCACATGCATCTATTTTTCAGTATTCATTCTTTTTTGTTTAATACCCTTTAAAATGTGAATTACAGTATAACATGTTGATTGCATGGTGACTGTTGACAGTTAATCTTTAGCTGAATGATAAACTCTTAAACTGTCACAAAGGAACAGCACTTAATTTCCATTTGGGTGGTGTTTTGTGATGCTTCTGTAGTAAGAACAGGATAGAACAACTTTTGTTTTTAATTAATTTTTTTATTGAAGACTAATTTCTTTATAGAATTTTGTTGTTTTCTGTCAAACCTCAACATGAATCAGCCATAGGTACACATATATCCCCTCCCTTTTGAACCTCCCCCCATCTCCCTCCCCATCCCACCCCACTAGGTTGATACAGAGACCCTGTTTGAGTTTCCTGAGACATACAGCAAATTCCCGTTGGCCATCTATTTTACATATGATAATGTAAGTTTCCATGTTACTCTTTCCATACATCTCACCCTGTCCTCCCCTCTCTTCACGCCCATAAGTCTATTCTCTATGTCTCTTTCTCCATTGCTGCCCTGTAAGTAAATTCTTCAGTACCATTTTTCTAGATTCCGTGTATGTGCATTAGAATATGATATTTATCTTTCTCTTTCTGACTCAATTCACTCTGTATAATAAATAGGTTCTAGGTTCATCCACTTCATTAGAACTGACTCAAAGGTGTTCCTTTTTCTGGCTGAGTAATATTCCACTGTGTATATGTACCACAATTTCTTTATCTATTCATCAGTTGGTGGACATCTAGGTTGCTTCCATGTTCTGGCTATTGTACATAGTGCTGCAATGAACAATGGGAAACAGCTTTTAGTTATATCCTCTTTAGTTTGGGAAAATGTATAGGGAAAAGTATTCAGAGCTAGTTACAACTGTAATGTGTCAACCATTAATGGTCATTCTGTGTTCATGAGGAAATATGTAACTGAGCACTGTTATCAACAACCTTTGCTTGTTTCTTTTGATGTCTTGGCATCCCAGTGATAATGTACTGCTTTAATGAACTTGGCCTTGTAAATGATAAATCCTGAATGAGTTTATGAGGGGTAGGGGACTTCTCCATGTACATCTGAAAGCATCTTTACTTGACATGAAGTTTCCCACCAGGAACTTTAAAACACATCCTAAAATCAGTATTAGAGCATAGATAAGGCAGTAACAAAACATTTCTTTCTGTCTGTTTCAGGCTATTTTGGCGTTCTGCTGGATATATGTTCGCAAATATCAGAGTCAGCGGGAAAGTGAAGTTGTCTCCACCATAACTGCCATTTTTTCTCTGGCCATTGCACTGATCACTTCAGCACTTCTTCCAGTGGATATATTTTTGGTTTCTTACATGAAAAATCAAAATGGTACATTTAAGGTAATTATTTGTCCTTTCGTGTTCTTGGCAATTAAGTATTTAATTAAATGTGTAGCGATGCAGTGTGTGTTGGGTTTTATTGTCGCTGGGAGTAAGCGAGAATGGAAATGGACACAGGCTGAAGATGTGACAGCTCATGTGGAACAGACTTCTCACTGATTTTCAGCCATCTAAGAAGTCCTTTTGTTAATCAGAAAATTTGCTGAGTGGTCACAATAGGTTTTATTTTTGTGCCTTTCGTAGCTCCCTTGAAGTCTGACTTGATTTGCATTATCTAGACAACTTAGAAGGACCTTTGTTAGTGGCAGATTATGGTCTTCATCTCTATGTCATATTGAAGACCCTGAGTCACTGCGATGCAGGCTGCAGAGGATCAGACCCCAGTTCTAGTCTTGGCTTCTCACTACTTAGCCTGTGTCTTTGGCCAAACTGAGCTTTTCTAGACTTCATGTTCCTTATATTTAAAATGCATGGTATTAGACTGGAAGGCTTCTGAGTTCCTTTTCAGTTATGCAGATTACTTTTACATTTCTTACTAGTGTAAGCTTTATGAGATAGGAAGTGTGTCTTGTTTGTTTCTAGGTGCCCAACATATGACACATAGTAGGTACTTAAATATTTGAATGAAATATTATTTTAATTATCTCAGTAATGCATGGTTCCAAAATAACTTCCTGAATTGGGCCAACTGGACTTAAATAATTTGGTAATTTTTTTGCGTTAGGTTTGGCTAGATTCCAATTGCTGTGAAAACTGCAGTTCTTTTCTATAGGTTAGACATTCATTTAGCAAGTATTAATTGAGCTCTTAGTATGTGCGGAATGCTGTGGAGAGATAGTAACTAGTGTCCATAGAGTATTCAGTGTGTGTCAGACCCTCTCCTAAATGGTTTACATATCTTAATGTCCCAACAACCCAGTGAGGTAGATAGTGTTGTCTCGGTTTTCCTGGGCAGGAAGCCAAGGTTCAGAGAGGTGGCATAACCCATCTCAGGTCTGGCGTTTGTGTATGTTTTACTGGGATTTCCTATATGCAGTGTATAATTATTGTTTGAGCAGGAGAGTTTTTTTAATTTTTAAATTTAGAATATTTGGTTTGTTTAGATTTTGTGGAATTACATTTTCATCTGGAAATTTCTAAAGTGTTTTAATGAAATTATGAGCTTTCCCTTAGATCATGTAGTTGTTCTAGGACCATGCTTAGTTTAGTAATCAATCCCTTTTTGGATACTAGTTTTTTGTTTCATTTATTTATTTTTAATTTGTGAGGTTACATTATATTTGTTTAAATAAGACTTTAGGAATTCACCTGTGTAAAGAAACAAAAGTATTTCCCATTAAGACTTATAGCATTTGTTCTATTAAACGCTCCATTAGAGAAGAAAATGTATAGCTGTAGTTAGTGTGCTTATTTTATGTTTGTTAAATCTATTTGTCTCCGAGAAACCTGCATGCAGATCAAGAAACAATAGTTAAGAACAGACATGGAACAATGGACTGGTTCAGAATTGGGAAAGGAGTATGACAAGGCCGTACGTATATTGTCACCCTGCTTATTTAACTTCTATGCAGAATACATCGTGTGAAATGCTGGGGTGGGTGAACCACAAGCTGGAATAAAGATTGCCAGAAGAAATATCAACAACCTCAGATAATGCAGATGATACCACTCTAATGGCAGAAAGTGAAGAGGAACTAAAGTGGCTCTTATGAGGGTGAAAGAAGAAAGTGAACAGAATGGCTTAAAACTCAACATTCAAAAAACTAAGATCATGGCATCTAGGCCCATCACTTCTTGGCAAATAGATGGGGAAAAAGTGAAAATAGTGACAGATTTTATTTTCTTGGACTCCAAAATAAATTTGGACGGTGACTGCAGCCATAAAATTAAGATGCTAGCTCCTTGGAAGGACAAACCTAGACAGCATATTAAAAAGCAGAGCTATCACTGTTGACAAAGGTCTGTAGTCAAAGCTATCATTTTTCCAGTAGTCATATACAGATGTGAGAGTTGGACCATGAAGAAATCTGAGCACTAAATAAGTGATAGTTCCAAATTGTGGTGTTGGAGAAGACTCTTTGGGAGTCCCTTGGACAGCAAGGAGATCAAACTAGTCCATCCTAAAGAAAATCAACCCTGAATATTCATTGGAAGCACTGATGCTGATACTGAATCCACAGTACTTTGGCCAGTTGATGTGAAGAGTCAACTCATTGGAAAAGACCCTGAAACTGGAAAAGATTGAAGGCAAAAGAAGGGGGTGACAGAGGGTGAGATGGTTTGACAGTATCACTGACCTCAATGGACATGAGTTTGAGCAAACTCTGGGAGATAGTGAAGGACAGGGTAGCCAGTACTGCAGTTCATGGAGTTGCAAAGAGTCAGACATGACTTGGTGACTAAACAACAACAAAAATCTAAATGTGGCACCAATAATTAGAAGGGAAAAATTCCATGTTAAGGTTTTTCCTTTCTTTTTTAAAAACTTTTTCATTATTGAGGGATTCATTCAGCAATTGTATGGCCTTTGTGATAGCTTACGGTGAACGGTGTTGGATTTGTGATCTCCAAGGAAGATTTAACTTTGGGACCAGGAACCAGGCTTGATCACTCAAGAGCTTTTGTATAGCAGAGTTTTATTAAAGTATAAAAAGGGAGAGAGAAAGCTTCTGACACAGACATCAGAAGGGGGATGGTGAGTGCCCCCCCGGCTGGTGTTAGCAAGGAAGTTATATACATTTTTAATTGGTTATTACAATAAAAAGAATGTTTCAAGGTTGTAAAGATCTTACTAGACCCACTCCTGTAACTTACATTTTAAGATAACCAGATTAGCCAGAAGGTTTTCAGGAAGGAGAAACTGTCCTCAAGCAGGATACGTTGTTGTTTTATAATCCTTGGTACAGAGTTTAAACTGAGCTGTTTGTTGCTTAATCATCAGTTCTGGGCTTAAAGAAAAAAACATTTTATGTGACTAAGGAATGTAGACAAAAAAAAGATCTTTGTCCTTTCCTCCTTCTTGAGAATTCCAGACCCCTATTTCCACTTTGAGACCCCTAGACTCCTTTCTCCTCCTCGGGGACCCCAGACTTCTTATCAGCCTGCCTAGGAATTGACTCTTTCATTCCCTCCTTTTCTTTTAGGAGAATTATGTTGCCAAGGGAAAGGGGTGTTGTTTTCGTTGCATAACTGCTTCCTGCTGTTGAGGAGCATAGTCCCTAAATTGTTGAAGCAACATATTCTGCTAACCGTCATATGGAGGGTCTCTGATCTGGGGCCTCAAGTAATAGTTGGGCACTCATAGGAGCCTGGACAGCCATTTGTAACTTAAAAGCTTTCAGTGGTTAGAAGCAAACCTCATTTTACAGCTACAGATGCAAGGCAAAATAGTCATTAAGCCAAGTTAAAACCTAATCAAAATTAAAAGTTACATTATGTCCATAGTTAAGGTACAATATGTTATACCAGTCCATATGTTATAACCAGTCCATGTTACACCAGGATTGCTGGATGTCATCACAGAGTTGAAGAAAGTCTTTTCCTTGAAGTGGAGAAACCCACCATGGGAAGTCTTTAATTGATGAGAAGGGGGAGTGCTCCACAGACCCAGCAATTATGATTCCAGAATTATGGAACGTGATGTAGGAATGAGCCCAGGACAGGAAAGCGTTGTCTTGAGGGTCAAATGGCAGACTCAGGACTTTTGGAGTCAGCAGAAGCAAGCCCACATAGGTTCTCAGACCCATGTCCATTCTTGGCTCAAATACTGGCTTGTTTGACTCAAAGTCTGGGTCAGGAGTTAACCTCCCGGTAATGTCTGTTGAAAAAGCTGAAAGTTGAGTCATATAGTTATAAGGCTTTAGGATCTATGACAATATCTGTGTGCAAAACTAGTCTGTCATTGAGGTAATCCCATTTTGGGGGGGCAGTTCATACCCTCATTATTAAAGGTATGGGTAAAACTAAACCAACTGTCCTGTTTCCTGAGTTAGCTTACCAAGATGCCTCTTAATAATGTCATTAGTCTTTTCAACCTTTTCTGAAGATTGGGGTCTCCAGGAACACTGCGAATGATACTGTATTCATAGAGCTTTCAACACTCCTTGAGTTACAGCAGCTTTAAAGATGGAGCCATTGTTGCTCTGAACTTTAGAGTTTAAGATCCCGCTTACATCATGAGAAGTCAGTACGTTAAGATTTCGCCCATTAGTAAACTTATGAGCTTTAGGCATTAGCAAGACAGTAATAGCAACTACCCTTATGCAATGTGGCCATAGCCTTTTTTCAGTAACAAACAAACTAAACTCTGATTCTGTGGGCAAGCTCAAAGTGGGAGCCTGCAAGAGAGCAGTTTGAAGAGCCTTAAAAGCCCTTTGAGTATCTGGGGACCAAACCAGCTTGTTGATTTGGGCCTGCTGAGTCTCAGTTAGAAGTTTATATAAAGGCCAGGCAAGTTCTGCAGAATCCAAATGAGGCAATAGCCTATTATGCCCAAGAATCCTCTCAGTCATCTTAAAGTCATAGGTAGAGGATGATTTAGTATAGATTCAACTCTTAAGAAGCAAACTTCAAATCAATGACTGAAAAATATTTGATTCAGTCAGAAATTTCAGACAATGAAGTATCAGGATTAGGCATTTACTATTTGTGTAGCTTGAACAGGTCTCCATTTATCATTTGACTTTTTTTTTACACCAAAAATAGGAGTGCTACATGAACTGTTACAGGGAATTAATAGTCCTTGTTCCTTTAAATTTTCAGTGATGGGTTTTAACCCTTCCTTAACCTCAGGTTTTAATGGATACTGCTTTTGATGTGGAAATAGGTGAGGGTCTTTGAGTTTGATAACGACAGGAACAGCATTTTGTGCTTGACTCATAGTTTTTCCATCCGCCTACATTTGAGGATTTACATTTTCTTCAGTTATAAGAGCAGGTTCCATATTCATGAAAACAGAGGCCTGGACCTTGTTCAGTATATCCCTCCCCAGAAGGGGTGGG